TTTTTTTCCTGTTGGTCTTTCTTTCAAGAAGTATCTTCTGTTCTTCTAGCCACTCCAGGCTGGTCTGCCTGTCCTTTCAAGTGTAAATTTCCCACCTCTGAAAATTATGGATGCTGTTCTGGATTCCACCTATAGTCTTATGTAATGCAGAGGCTCCACAGGAAGCCTCCTTCACTGGGCACATTGTAGTCCTATTTTAGGTATTCCAACCTAATGGTTGACTTTTGAACTTTTTCTTGGTCAGAGATTGAGGATGTTTCCATTCCATACTGTCATTTACTCTCTGACTCATAGTTATGAATCCATGTCTCATCACCTTTAATGATGATTTTTTTTTTCCTTTTTAAAGAAATTTTTACCTTCCTTCAAGTTTTGCTTAAAAATTTTTTGCAGATGTCTAAACACTTCAGTTTATTCTTTTCCTTGAGTTGTTTCAGTACCCATCTCACACAAACTTTTTGAAACCCAAGTGTATTATGGATTATTTTATAGACAGAGCCATGGCTGATTTGCAAATGACTTGCCACATAATCCACTGTCACATCTATTCAATAGAATCATTTCATGCTCTATGTTTTCATCAGCTCTGTACATGAAGGGGTCTTTCAATATACCTGGAATGTGGGCAATTTTTGACACACCCTCATAGATTCTGGAGCCAGATTTCCTGCACCCAAATCCAAACTGTGCTACTTATTAGTGAATGAGTATGCAAATTATTGTTGGGAGTCCTGGTGTGGCACTATGGGCTAATGTGCTGTACTGCAAAGTCATTTGAACTACAACGTTGGCCGTTCAAGCTCACCAGCTGTTCCTCGGAAACCCTATACAGACTTGCTATGGGTCAGAACCAAGTCAAAGTCATTTAACAACAACCAAATGCAAATTTTTTACTTACTAGTGAGTGACTATACTTCAATCTTTCCATCTTTAAAATGGGGTGATGAGTTAATATGTGTAGTGTTTCTAATGATTCCCAGCAGAGAGTGTTTGGAAAATATTTGTTTAAAATAAAACACATTTACAAGTGGTAAACTCTAGTCCTTGCTCAGGTCTCATTTAGTATCACCTTTGAAAAATCTCCCCGATGTCTTTTCTCATTTAACTGTTTATACAGAAACTCATGTTTCCAAAGCACTGTCAGCTGACTATGGTTACAGCATTTGTCAGTGTCTGTAATTTTATTACTGTAATTGTTAATATCCCTCAGTTTATCTATTAGGGCCTTGAGGGCAGAAGCTGAGTTTTACTCATTTCTCTAAGGCCAGAATTTGAGTCATAGTAAGTCTTCTATGAATATGTATTAACTGGTTGATGGTTTGATTTTATAAACATGTAAAACATAAATGCTTTGATTTTATATTCAAAGTCTACTGGTTGAACAGACTCTTGATCATGTGCTTTAATTTTTTGTTTATTAAAATATCCATAAAATGTGTCTTGTTCTTTTAGAATCCTTCTTTTGAAACCCTAGGTTTTTTGTTGTTGTTAAGTGCCATCAAGTCAGTTCCGACTCATATATAGTGTTTCTGAGAAGCTGCTGGTGGATTTTAGTTCAAAGTCCACTGCTGATCCTACAGCACCACACCAGGAGGCTGGTTTAGGAGCATTCAATCACTATTATTCCTGGAGAAAGATGATCACAAGGAATGAAGTTGATCAGCATCCTTCTAATTTTTAAGATATTTTTTTAGATGATTATTTAGGTAATTCTGATGCCTTGGATTTCATCTTCAGTGTTAAGAGTCCACTGTTGTTATCTGCTCATGTTACAATAAGAACTGTTGTTGTTGTTAAGTGCAATCAAGTTTGTACCGACTCATAGTAACTCTATGCACAGCAGAATGAAATACTGCCTGATCCTGGGCCAACCTCACAATTGTTGCCATGAGTGAGCCCATTGATGCTGTCACTTTGCCAATCCATCTTGATGGGGGTCTTCCTCTTTTTCTCTGACTCTCCACCTTGCCAAACATGATATCTTTCTCCAGTGACTGGTTCCTCCTGACAATATGTCCGAAGTATAAGAGACAAAGTTTGACCATCCTGACCTCCAAGGAGCACTCTGGCTGCACTTCTTCCAGAATGAATCTATTGGTTCTTTTGGCAGTCCATGGAACTTTCAATAGTCTCCTCCAGCACTATAACTCAAAAGCACCAATTCTTCTTCAGTCTTCCCTATTCACTCTCCAGCTTTCACATGCATATGATGTTATTGAAAATACCATGGCTTGGATCAGGTACATCTTAGTCCTTGAGCTGACAACTTTGCTCTTCAACACTTTAAAAAGGGTCTTGTGCAGCAGATTTGCCTAATGCAATACGTCATTTGATTTCTTGACTGCTGCTTCCATGAGTATTGCTAGTTGATCCAAGAAGAATGTAGTCCTTGACCACTTCAATCTTTTTTCCATTGATAAGAATGTTGTTTCTTGGTCCAGTGGTGAGGATTTTTGTTTTCTTTACATTGAGATGCAATCCATACCGAAGGCTGTGCTCTTTGATCATCATCAGTAAATATTTTAAGTCCTC